AGGAGCTGCAGGACTGGCTGGCCCATAGGTCTGGTCTGGGACCGAAGGGAAAAGCGGGCAGGGGACAACGAGAGAGCAAGGCGTACCAGGCTAGATGGAGCGACGATCCTTTCCGGGACGTGTGTTCTCGTGGAAGGAAGTCGATTTGCTACTCCAGCTTGAAATCCGCCGCCCATTCCGGGCATGAATTGTCCTTGACTGCTGGGCTCTTCAGAGCTCTGTCCTGATGTGCGCTTTGGAAAGCAACCATCTCTCTGCCCCCACCCCACCAAGCCCTGCAGCGGAGACGTGGGGCTGGCAAGTTATTCCCGAGCCGTCTCCCACGGGAATCCTTGTTGAGAGCCTGCAAACATCGCCTCCGGCTAGTCCTGGATGCATCAATCCGCCTCTTCCAGCCTGCACTCTGGGGCAAGGAGAGCCACAGCTGACCAGGAGTCGAGCCAAAAGGAACCACATGGTCTCATTCTGAGTTCCTCTCTTTAGGTCTGTCCCATTTCAGGACCCCCTGTTCTAAGTGACTCTCGCGTGACTAAGCGAGACACCAAGGAGACATGGCAATTTCCAAGACACTACGATTCACCAGGGGGATTTCAGCGCACCTTAGGAAAATGCTTTAAAATTCCACCTGCATCCTCAGCTGGTGTAAACGAAGACGCCAGGGCTGCATCTAGACTGGCAAGTTTTTCCGCAAAAGCACCTGCTTTTGTGCAAAAACTTGCCAGCTTCTACACAAAGCACTGATGTTCTATTGTCTGAAATCAGTGCTTCTTGCGCAAATGCTTTCACTTTCCCATTTGGGCAAAACCCCTTTTCTGGAAATGTATTTGCGCAAGAGGGCCAGTGTAGACAGCTAAAAACTGTTTTGCACAAAAAAGGCCCAATGGTGAAAATGGTGATCCGGGTTTTCTTGTGCAAAACCATGTCCAGATTGGCACAGACACTTTTCCACAAAAAGTGCTTTTGCGGAAAAGCATCCGTGCCAATCTAGATGCTCTTTTCCGCAAGTGCGTTTAACGGAAAACTTTTCCGTTAAAAGCATTTGCGGAAAATCATGCCATTCTAGACGTAGCCAGTGTGTAGACTAAAAGAAAGAAAACTTGGGTAACTGGAATACCAAACTCTTCTGTACATGCACATAGAGCCTTTCCCTCAGAAGCATGCAAGTTTTAAATCACATCGCCTTGCTCTATTCACTAGACCTCACTCCTTTTCCTGAGATGCACACAGAACCCAGTAATCCTGGATCTTAACCCATTAGAAGACAGTGCTTCACCTTCACCACTCTAGCCCCTGCTCAGGGCTTTCCGGAGAGCCCCCTTCACGTCCTTGTTCCGCAGGCTGTAGATGATGGGGTGGCAGCTCCCGGTCCTGCTCCTGTGAGTAGGTGGTGTTGGGGCGGAGGTAGGTGAAGAGGATGCTGCCAAAGTAGAGACTGACCACAGTCAGGTGGGAGGTGCAGGTGGAGAAGGCCTTGAGGCGTCCGACCCGGGTGCGGATCCGGAGGATGGCCCGCCCGATGGACACGTAGGACACCAGGGTGCCCAGCAAAGAGCATAAGACGAGGGCACCACCAAAGATAAAGGTAACAATCTGGTTGATCCAGGTGTCGGAGCAGGAGAGCTGTAGGAG